ATTTAACAAGGAATATATATGGGTTAAAAAAAAAAACCTCCTTCAATATTATAAAGGCCATAAAGTCCATGGTCTCCTTCCCTGGAGAATACCACATTAATAATTTTGTCTATTATCTTTCAAGAAATTCTTTATGTATAGAGAAATACTGAATAGCTTATAAACAGACTTATCAATTACAGTTAGAAGCATGTTAAGCATTCTATTCTAATTCTTGCTTTTTAAAAGAATTCTGGAATTTTGGGGATATGGCTCAGTGGAAGAGTTCTTGTCTTGCATGCACAAGGTCTTGGGTTCAATTCCCAGCACCACACATACACATACAATAAAACAAGCAAACAAACAAACATATCCCCTGGAATGGAGATTTTCCTGTATCAGCACACAAAGCTCTCACTCAACACAATTCATTTAAACAGTTTACATTGGATGGGTATGTGAGTGATTTCCAAAATTTTGCTAATATAAAGTAAAATGGCTACGAATACCATCCCTTTCCATACATGTCTTTGAAACCATGAAAAATTATGTTTGTATGTTAAATTCATGGAAATAAAATTGTTTAAATCAAAGTGATTGCATTTAACTGTTTTTACATACAAATCAAAGTGATTGCATTTACTTGTTTTTACATGCACTACCAAATGGCCCCCAAAAAGATTTCAACAACTTGTATTCTTACCATTAGTGCAAAAGTACCTGTTTCACACTCTTTTATAAATGTTATTGGGAATCTGAGAGAGAAAAGTTTTTAAAAATCGATATGAAAAACTTCATCTTCATAAAACAATTATGAAATATGTGATTTCCAGACAATTATTAAATACCAGGTCATATCCCCTTGAGAAATCATAGCAATTATACACATAATTTTTGATGTGAATACTAAAAAGATTCATGATTGTACATATATTACTACAGCTGTGCTTTTCTTTGACTTTCAACACTTATCTTCTGGACACCCACTGAGAAATAAATAAGAATACACAGCTGGCTTTAATTGTGTTTCCCCTCCCCCTCAACACACAAAGATCAAACAAAGCAGGGTTCTGAAGCAAGAGCACATAATGTTTATCACTAAATACATAAATGATACACCCCCCAAAACTCAAACTATAGGATTAAAAATAGTATATTTATTAAAGAAATTCTCATATTCTCCTGAGGAAAACAAAATAAGGCCCTTTTTTCAATTAATTTACACGATAATACCACCATGCTCATCTTGGAAATAAAAAACTTCTACCCACAAATGACTAAATGTGCTTTCCTATAGAAATAACAACCTTCATCAAGTATACTATATCATTAGCTTGATGTAGTGCTTTACAACTATAAACATGTTTTATTTACACTTCTCTTGATCCCTGTGAGCTGGTCTAAAAGCAAGCTTTTTACCTTTCTCAGCTATTACTCCCCCACTTAGACCCCAGATGAATTTGTCATCTTTTCTTCCATTACCCACTCCTTTCTCCTAACTTATCCCTCACCCTGGGTGAACTAAATCTCTCTGCTTATTTTATTCCTTCTCTTGGAATATCTTTCATCCTACTAATGTCTGTTTTTTTTTCCAGAGTCTTTGCTAATGTTCTCATTTAAAAGTAATCAGTAGTTTCTTTGAGCTGCTTAGAACTTTTGGCACCTTCTGTCTTATATTATTGTTTAATATATGCCTTAATCTGGCATAATAAATGTCATAAAGAAAGCAATTTCCCTTTATCTTAACACTTGTGAGTATTGTGGTTTAAATCTAAAAGGTTTCCCCAAAGTTTCATGTGTTCAGAGGAGAGGTTTTGGAAGGTGACCAAATGAATGAGTGCTATGAGTCCCTGCACTGATTGGATGTGGAGTTCCTGGAGCATGATCCGGAAGGATATATTCTGATCGAGAGCTCCTTCCTTCTTTCTCTGTTTGCTGGCTGCCATAAACTGAGCAGCTTTCCTCAGCCATCCCTGTTTACCATGCCATTTCTGCCTTGGAGCCTGCTAATCATGGACTGAACCCCCTGAAATCATGAGTCAAATAAATCTCTTCCTTTAAAGTATGAGTATTGAGTATTTTGTCCTTGCAGTGGAAAGTAACTAATATAATTACCATGCATAATCATAAAACACATAAAATATGCTTGTTGAATAAATAAAATTCTGAAACAGTGCTATAAATTTAAGGTATTAAATTCATTTGTCAGATAAGGAAACTGTTTTAGAAAAATTTAAGAAAGGAATTTTCTTAAAACCAAAACAACTAACAGCTAGGTTGGAACTCAGGTAAACCTTTTGTTTTTTTTCATAACAGCTAGCTTGATAATCTAGGTCTAGGTTTTTTTTTTGGTACTGGGGATTGAACTCATGACTTCATGCTTGCTGGGTAGGCACTTGTGCTGCTAAAGTATATCTCTGGCCCCTAAGTCTAGGTTTTTATTGTGGTATTTCCATGTATTCTACATAAGCAGATTGTATTAATTTTAAAAAAGAATGAGGTTAAAGTATGATCATAAATTATATAAATATTAAAACATAAGCTTAGGGGAAATAATATTTATTAATTTTATAATATTTATTTTTATATTTATTAATTTTTATAATTTTATATAATTACTTTAGATAGAAAACTGTAATAATATAAACAAAAACTTTAAATAAGTAAAATTCATATGCTGTTTGAAAGCCTTTATAACTTGGAATATAATTTTATAATGTACAACTGACAGTTTTCAGCTTATTAATAAGGAAGAATGAGTTCCACAAATTATTTCTCAAATGTCTGCTATATGCTTGGACTGTGTTAAGAATCTGAAATGCAAAAATGAAAAATATACAGTCTCTACAATCAAAAATATTGTGACAGTGATATATATCTTCCTGTTCATGCATTATTATGATTACTACAAGCTCAAATCAGAAATCATTAAGCAGAATATAATTTGTTACTAATTTACATTTATTATAAACATAATTATAAAAACTCTTGAGGTATACTATGTTTATTTGATGTTAAAAACCAGGCATAGTTGTGTATGCCTGCAATCCTAGTAGTACTTGGGAGGCTGAGGCAGGACAACTCTCATGAGTTCAAGGCCAGCCAGCCTGGGCTCCATAGAGTTCAAGGCAAGCCTAGACTACATAAAGAGACCATGTCTCAAAAAAAAAAGCCTTTGCCTGGAGGAACCTAAGACAGACAGACACACACACACACACACACACACACACACACACACACAGAGAGAGAGAGAGAGAGAGAGAGAGAGAGAGAGAGAGAGAGAGAGAGATTACACCTTGCGAGCTTGTGTTTTTATCATTTAACTTCATCTCTCTCAATGTTTGAGCAACACTGCTGAACAGGAAAAACAAAAAGCCCACCCATTAGGAGATTTCCATTTCAGTGGGAAAACAGATATAAATGCATAACATAAAGTCATGTAATTTTAAGCACTCTGAAGAAAACTAAATGTAAACTAAATAAACAGAAAGGTATAGAATAGACTATTTTAATAGGAGGGTGATCAGAGAAGGCCTAAGTACAGAGCATTCCACAGAGACCTTCAGAAGTGAAAGAGTAAGTCATGAAGAGTAAGGGTAAGTGTTACCTTCAGAAAGAAAGAGCCATTTAGGGCACCATCAAAGCCTCTTAGATAAGAATGAATTTGATGTGTTCAAAGAATAGTAGTAACACACATTTGGTTGAAAAGTGTGTGGAGGAGGTCAATAGCTATAAAGTCAGAAACGGCCAAGGAGGCAAGATTCTGTAGCGCCTTGAAGGCTATGGCGAAGTGTCCGAATTTTATTGCAAGAGAAGCCAGGAATGGTTTTTAAATAGGAAAGTGACATGATGTGTGACTGGTTTTGTTTGTTGAGATAAAGTTTCGCTACGCAGTTAAAGCTAGCCTTAAACTCATTTTGTAGCCAGGCAGGCCTCAAACTCATGGTGATTCTCTTGCTTCAGCCTCCCAAGTGCTGAGATTACAGGTATGCATCATCATGCCTGGCTAATTTACATTTTTTAAAGAGCACATACTGCTGGTTGTAAGGAAGCAACACTGGATGCAAGGAAACAGAAGGCTGCTGTGGTATATTAAACAAGAAACAGGTTCTTAGGTAAGCATGTTAATGGATAGGCAAGAATCCCTCAGATTTAGAAAATATTTTGAAAACAGAACAATAGGATTTTCTGATGGGTTAACATAGTAGCATGAAGGAAAACAAGCTAAAACTTTTTGGCTTGAGAAACTGAGTAAAAGGTAATGTTATCTACAAAAGAAAGTATACTTGGGGTAAAGAATTCAGAGGGAGAACATTTGCCTGGTGTGAACAAGGACCCACGATCGATTCCCTCAGCACCACCCAAAACTAAACCCAAACAAAATGAAATGATACAAAACAACCAAAATAAAACAAAACAAATTGAGAATTCTTGTATGTAAAGTAAGATGTCTCTTAGAAATCCAAGCAGCCAATTAGATAACAGTCAGAGAAATAAAGAATATATACTTGAGAATCATAAGCATATATATGAACTTTTCAGCCATAGACTTGAATAAAATTGCCTAAGTAGAAAATAAATGTAGACACTGGAGATGGCTTCTTGCTATCATACCATTTCTTGATGTTGGGAGTGCAGTTGCTACCATCAGTCCTTCCTCCCTCTTTCAAATTTTTAAGGTCTACAGATGTTATTTTAGTAAATAAACTTTGTAACATAAAATTTTATCTTCATCTATGTTCAAAGGAACTGAAGTTCTTGATAAATGAACTCTGTAATAAATTGTACTAAAAACTAGAAAATTATGGAGAGTAAGAGGTCAATATTTAAAAAATAACTATACCCAAGGGAAAAATAAGACAAAACAAATGATCAAAAAACCCCCACAACATAAAGAACAAAACAGTCCAGATAAACTTTTTAGTAGTTTTGATAGACACATGCTTGATTCTTTAGGAAGGGCAGAATATGACTTATGCATACTAGTAAGGCTAAATTAACTCAAAATTTAAACAACTTACCTGCAAGCACAAGGGTAATATTTAGTACAATGAATATTCCGCAAAATAGACCAACTCTAAAAGTAGTCCATGCTGGTGCAGGCTGTGGAAAGAACAGTAGCTTTTAAGTAGGGGACAAAATATCACAGTACCAAGTTCTCCAATAAAAATAGTGTTTCATGATCTGAATTTTTAAAAATCTGAATCAGAGAATCATGCATTCTGCATCATCCTGTAGTAACTAAAATAGAAATGACAGTTTAATTCTTTTACAGAAATGTAAGTCAAGAAATATGTAAGATTATATTAGGCATCAAATTATTTTATATATATACTGAGGTTTTGTTATAGGGGAGATTTAAGGTAAAATTTCATTTTTACAGTATGTAAATCTCTAAAATTTTTGTCAGTATTACTCTACTAGTTACACATTTGGCACTATAAATAGACAATGGTAAAAATAAGACCATTTATTTTCCAATAGCACTTACACTATTTTCCTGGGAAATTTAAAGTGAATTTTTCAAAATATACTAGTCTTGGGCTGGGGATTTTAGCTCAGCGGCATAAGTGCCTGCCTGGCAAGCATGAGGTTATGAGTTTGATCCCCGGTACCACCAAAAAAAAAAAAACCCCATAAAAAAATTGAAAAAATATATAAATATATATATATATACACTAGTCTCAAAAATATTTTTCTTTATTAATTTATAAAATTACTTTAAAGATTACTATTTTCTAAAATAAACAGGAAGTACATTAGATTTTACATGTAGAGATGAGAAACATGTAAAGAGACAGTCTTACAAACTTTATAGTGTTATTAGAAGTAATACTTATGAAAAACTTCAAGGTGCCTCCTAAAAAAGGCAGTAAAACTCTAACTTATTATTTATCAGTAGAAGATATCTGTATTGTTAAAGAATGAAAGCATCTAGAAGGAAGACAGTCTGCTTTTTCAAAAACAGAGTATCTTTAATAGTTTCAAAAATTGTGATTTATCATACAAAAGAATTATAATGTATTTAGATTGTCAGAAATAACTAATGAAGTGTACTTAGTATCTATCACCCACCTTTCGAAGCAATAACTCTAAATTCTCTACCCCTACCTGATGGTGCATTCAGAAAAACATAGTATGAAATAAAAATAAAATTTCAAATATTTTAATATATGGAATCCAACTGTTTCATCACTATTTACTAAAAACACTATTCTTTTGAAAATCAGTTGTCCATATATAAGTTAACTTACTTTTAGACTCTTTATCTATTCTAATAAAGTATCTGCCTATTCTGATACTGTTATTACACTCTCATGATTACTGTAGCTTTAATAATAAGTTCTGATATTGGATAATGTTAATTTTTAAATTTAGTTGTTTGAAAGTTGTCTTGGCTATTCTAGGTCCCTTGCATTTTCATACATATTTTAAAGTTAACTTATAATTTTCAATTTTCTTTCACATCTTTTGTCAGAATTATTCCTAAACATTTCATAATTTCAAAGTATTATGAATACGATTTGAAAAGTTTTGATTTCTAATTTTTCTTGCTGACACACAGATGCACACTTAACTTGTATACTGATACTATATCCTACAACTTTGGCAATGGCAAAAAAAAAAAAAAAAAAAAAAAAAACCATAAAATTTCACCAGTTTTACTTTTCCTTTCTAACCTGAATGTCTTTTATTTCCTTTTCTTACCCTATCATACTGGTTATTATCACTCTGTCCAATGTTGAATAAAAGTACAGTGAAAATGCTTTTATATTCCTAGTCTTAGAAAGCACTAAGGCTTTACCATTAACTATAATAATTAATTGCAGGTGTTTTCATAGATACTATTTTTCAGAATGTAAAAGTTCTTTCTTATATTAATTTCAATTCCAGTTAGATCACAGAAAATACTCTGTACAAATGAAGTCCTTTTAAATTTATTAAGACTTGTTTTATGACACAACAATACTCACATGATTTTCTAGAAGTATAACTATTATGTAGATATAATTTAATGAATACATTTTTGGGATAACAGCAGTATTTTGTATGAAGCTATACAGTACACCAACACTTTAAAATTCATTACAAACTTTGGCTGTGGGGCTGGGGATTTAGCTCAGTGGCTCAAGTACTTGCCTGGTAAGTGTGACGTCATGAGGTTGAACCCCAGTACCAAAATAAACAAATAAATAGACTCTGGCTGAAATATTTTTAAGGTAGCATAGCCAACAACCAACCAGATTTCACTGACTAAATAGGCAAATAAGCCAGTGGAAACAAATACTAACCTGAGCAGCTCCCAAAGGTGGGACACGTAAACGCTTCATAGCCTTTTGTCTGTCGCCATCTTCAAGTTCATTGGTTACTACAGCCTAGAAAGACAAGTTATCAAATATTGACATGTTATTCTAAACTTAAGTGATATGTAAATAATTCTGTATCATTTTATATATATGTATCATATATAATATATAGCATTATATATGTGTATTTATTGTACAGCAAATACAGCAAAAGAAAAAATAAGAGAGCTAGCAACTCTTTACAAAAAGAGAATGGAAATGTAGAATTATTTCTATAAAATAAGGCATGTTATTAAAAATATGTGGTAAATGAGTAGGACTACTGTACCTCAGTTTCAGAGATGAGCTGGTTGATTTTCTTGCATATATAAAATGGGGCCACTTCTACATGGGCAACTCGCCAATCGGCTCCACGAGATGTTTCCAGGATCTTGTCATGCTTTTTAAGGATTTTTCGAAACCCTGTAAAATTCAGATTCTATGGAAAGAAATGAGACAAACTATAATTTTTACCATCATCAAAGAAAATGAAAATAATGACCACTACAACACTGACAGAACTGACTGGACAGACTGGAACCTACGGAAATGGCAATGCTTTCATAAAAGCATTTACTATTAAGAGGACAAAACCTTTCTGTCTTCTTTCATTTATTCTTTTTAAGCTGGTATGGTACTAGTAACAGAAAGAGACCCTGAACTACAAATTCTATTATTTCTCTCCTCAAATATGTTAAGTTCTAAGGCAAAATATTTCTATTTTCATTTTCCTATGTATAACTGTCTTCAAAATAGCATTTGAATTATTTTGCTCCTTTGGCCAAAAGAATATTTTCAGAAAACATTTTGATTTCCCTTCTACCAAGCAAGCTTGAAACATCTGCAATGAAGTCATCCCCCCTCTTAACTTTCATTTTTCTTTCACCTCAGTTTGGGGCAGTAGTGTAAGGCAGAGTCGGTAGAAAGAAGTAATTATGCACACAGGATTAATAATCCTGTGAGGAGCTCCTTCATTTTCTTCAATATCAAAAGATTATTTTCTACACCCTCAAATTCTGTTGTTTGCCTATCATTTGAAAAGGCAGAAAACTCACTTTGTAAAGTTAGATTTGTAAGTCAGAGAGCTCCCAAATTTGCTCATCATACCACTCCATTCATTAGTAAAACACTTGAGCATTCACTCTGGAATAAGCTTTACTTGCTTTTTTGTTTACAAATTGTTTCTTATACTTTATGAATTTCTACTCTCGTTGGGGTACATATACTATGACTATATTGCTTTTAATTTTCATTTTTCCTTCATTCTCAAAATAAGTGTATCCTTTTTTCTCATTATGTGAAATTTACTAGGCTAATGTTGGAAATACCACAGACAAAATTCATCCTTGACAAAATATATGTATTCTTATAACAATCCCTAAAGAATGTGAATACAGCAGAACTGTTGTTGATGTTTTTCGTAAGAGCAGAACTTTTATAATTAACAATCACTTCTGTTTCCCAAGAAGCGTTTTTAAAAGGTTTTTATAATGACTCAAAACAAAAGTTGCTGAAAGTTAACATAATGTTAACAAGGGTGTTGCCCTGTAACAAAAAAACATAATTAGCAAACCATAAAATATAAATATTTTTATAGCATTACAAAAATGCACTTTTCAAAATTAAGTTATAAAATTTTAAAATAAAAATTAAATCATAAAGTTATGGATAACCCTGGCACAATAGTGCACACCTGTAATCTCAGCATTGTGGGAGGCTTAGGCAGGAGGACTGCAAATCTGAGCCTGCATGGGAAACTTAGCAAGACCCTGGCTCAAAATAAAAAATAAATGTGGCTCAGTACAAAGGTCCTGGGTTCAATCTTCAGTACCAAAGAGGGGGAAAAAAAGCTATGAATAAAATTTCAAAGAAAAGAAATTTAAAAAATAAATAAAGAAAAGGGATTTATAACTTATATATGTCTTATATCATTTTTTTCTAAAAATTGTTTTCCACCTGGGTTGTTTGGTAAAATATTAAATCACTAAAGAAAGTGAATTATGAAAGGGAAATAAGAATTATGGAAGGGAAATAAGCACATGCAATAACAACTTAGATTGATACATATATAGGGCTTTAATTACTTCTGATTTTAAAATTCTAACAGCCTGGGGTAATATTTTTGTGGCATAATTTTTGCTGTATCATTTGACAGTGTCCTAACTACACAGAAATAAAAATTGCAAGGATAAAAGAGAAAGCAAACACTAATCAGATCTCTCTAAAGAGCAGAAATCCCTATTTAAATATCATTATTGAATAAATTATCTGTTTATCTTATCCCTTTCCTGTTCTTCCCTCCCTCCTCCTCCCTTCCTTTTTATTACTGGGGATGGAAACCCAAGGCTACATCCCCAGAACTTTTTATTTTTAGACTGGGTCTTGCTGTGTTGCCTAGGCTGGGCTTGAACTTGTGATCCTCCTAGCTCAGCTACACAGAGTGCTGAGTTTACAGCCATGCATTACTACACCTGGTTAAATACCTGTTTTTAATTAAATTCTTTACAGAATTTAATTATATAAACAGTCTTACAGAGAATTACAAATGAATGAATGTTCTGTATTTCCATAATTCAGTATACTTGATAGTTTACTTTTTCCACAACAGGTTTTTAAAATATTGAGTGATGTAACAGCTCATTTTCAGTTTTAACATGCACCCGGTGCAACCTCATTTCTCTCTTAAGAATTCCTTTTTTTTTTTTTTTTTTTTTTAATATGATTGTATTTGAGTCTGGGGGCAAACAAATTGAAAGGATTCTTTTAGCTGCAAGCTGCAAAGTCAAGATCTTTTATTTCATTGGTATTAGCTGCAGAAATGTTAATTGTCCAACTGCTGTTCTTTTATTTTATTAATGCCTGTAGCAGGAACATTAAATGTTCAATTGCTTTTGTGGAAATTTTGCTAGTGGTTAAGAGGACTATAAAAGCTCTTACACATCCAACAATAGGGTAGCATGTAATTATTTTTTTACTCACCACTCCCAAAGCTGCCTTTAAAAACAGGAAGCAAAGAGTAAGTCTTAGAGTGAAGAAATATTCTTAAATATTAAATGTTCTAGAAAACTAATCTTCAAAACTAAAATTTGTTAACTGTTTTAATCCATCTAATACATGGTTTTTAGTCAATATGGACATCGAAAACCTCAAGAGTAAAGATAGTTAATGACTTTCCTTTTTGGATTGACCAATTAGTACAGCTCAAGGTAATTCTATTTATTGGAATTTCTCATTTACTTAAAATGCCATTTTTCAGTGTAAGACTCTAAGTACCTGATAGTTCTGCAGCAGGATAAGACTGAGGTAGAACTCGCTGAAGGCCAGTTTAAGGTCTTTAATATTTCTGTGTTGGACGCGTTCCTCGTGGGACAGGTGGAAGACTGGCTTTCTGCGTTGTCGCAGTGTAGTAACACCACTGCTTTCTTTTTGTGCATCCAGTGATGACTGAAGCTCATTCTGAAGTGTGGCAAACCTGCGCTGAGCCTCTGCGAGCTTCTCTGTAAGAAATAAAACACGACTATTGAATCAGTAAGTTAAAAAAGCTGAAAATTTCTCGTGGACTTCTTGAGTTTTTGCTAATTAATCTAATTTGCTTCTCTAGATTTTCTAAGAACAGAATATTACAAGTAGTATTTAGAATTGGGAAAAATATTCTGGTTAACAATTCTCTTTTCTTCTATTTCACACTTGCCTTTCTACAAAACTGTTATTGTACCTTTGTAAAAACAGATCAAGGGGCTGGGGATTTAGCTCAGCGGCATAAGCGCCTGCCTTGCAAGCAGGCAGTTGTGAGTTCGATCCCTGGTACCGATAAAAATGAAAAAGACAAACAAAACAAAACAAAACAAAAAAAACAGATCAAGAAGGGCTGGGGATTTAGCTCAGTAGCAAAAGCATCTGCCTTGCAAGCAGGTGGTCGTGAGTTCGATCCCCAGTACCGTTTAAAAAAAAAAAAAAACAGATCAAGAAATAAAATGTAAAAAGTTACTAAGCGTGAAAATATAAAATGGTACAGTCACTCTGAAATTCAGTTTGGCAGTTCTCAAAAGGTTAAACAATTACCATGATTCACCAAATCCACTTCTAGGCATATATCTAAGAGAAGTAAAATCATATTCACACAAAATCTTGCACCTATATAAAGCATATATTCACAGTATTGAAAAGGTAGAAATAACTAAAATGTTCACCAACTGATGGATGGATAAACAAAATGTGATATGCGTATGCACACATAAGATGTGAGCCTTGTAAAAGAAGGCATATTCATTAATGCTACAACATGAATGAATCTAAACAATGTGTAGAGGAAAATAAGCTAGACATAACATACCCCCACTGCATGATTCCATTTATATGAAATATCCATACCAGGGAAATCCATAGAGATAGAAAGTAAATTAGAGGTTTCCGTGGCTATAAGAAGTGGAATGGAGAGCGACTGCTAATGAGTAGGAGATATTTGGGGGAAATGTTGAAAATATTTTGCAATTAGAAAGTGATGATGGTTGTAAAAGCTTATAAATACATTTCAAACCACTAAATTACATATTTTAAAAGACTGAATTTTATGGTAGGTAAAAAAATCTCATTTTAACAAAGCTACTAAGAAATATTTATGTTTCTGGTTACAAAGCTCAGTGTTGAAACAGGATTAGAATTTGACGTTTAGGTTTTTAATCTGTTCTCATTAAACCTAATTATTCTTCCAAAACAGGTGTTCTAGATTAAAAGTCACAAATTATGTGTTAAAAATTGGGTATATCTGGAGATCATACATATGTATCTATCTTTGTGTCCTTTAGTACTCAAAAAGGGAATGGTTCCAGGACCCAAACCTGCAACGTTCAAGTCCCTTACATTTGTATATAATGTATATACATCTTTACATATACTTTATTTTATTTTATTTTGGTACTGGGGATTGAATTCATGACTTTGCACTTGCCAGGCAGGCACTTATGCTGCTGAGCTAAACCCCTGGCTCTTCCATATACTTTAAACCAACCTGTAGATTACATATAGTATCTAATACAGTGTAAATAGTTAAATTATATTGTTTAAGAAATGTCAACAATAAAAGCCTTACTTGTTCAGTACACATGCATTTTCCCATGTGTCTGTGTGTGGTGCTACACATTGAATCCAGAGCCTCACCTATGCTAGGCAAATGCCCTATCACTGAGCTATACTTTCACCATTTTTTAAAAATCGGGGTGGATATCCTTGCCTCATTAAGTATATGATTTAGTTATTTTTCTTTATTTTTCATGGTGAGTTAAGTATTTTTCTGTATTCTTTATAACTGAAGTAGACTCTTATCATGTGGTTGAAATACAAAATAATGTTAAGGAGGACAATGCAAGGCTGCCCTTGGGGCTTACTGTGTGGATGCTGGTCTCAGATTGCTGGAAAAGGTGTTTTTATGTAGTATTACTGAGCTGACAAATGTAAAGACCAAGATGAATTTTAATCCAATGTGAAATCTTGGTTTCTTAAAATGCGAAGTAGTAAATAACGAAAATAATTATACAATAAAAATAAAACATTACTTTTGACTCACTTTTTCTCCAAGTTCTCCTCTTCTTTGCTTTGTATACTTTCATACTGTTTTCTTTCCTTAATCTTAAACACTTTTGTCTTTTTAACTGCTTCATGATTTACTGCTTTTGTTAGTCATTCTTAAAGGATGCTTCTGAGATTCATTCCTATCCTTAATCATTTACAGACTTGTTTTCTTATTTTTGATTTTTTTTTCTTGTATCCTGTGATTTCAAATTAGGTTTCCATTCCTCTAAATTAATTTCATCCACATGTTTCTATTCATCTGGGATCTGCATAGCTTTTAGAGACCAATTTTACATCTTTTTCATACCAACAACCACCACCACTCCAGGAGGCACAGAAAATTCCTTCACTAAGACATACAGAAAATGCATTAGTGAGGAGGGAACTTGCATCCTTGAAAAGCTCCATGTTTGTTCTCCACTGCAAGCCAGGAATAGTCACTCTCAAGAGATGTATTCACTGAGATGGGTTCCCTGATTTCAGTGCAGATAAAAAAGATCCTGAATCAGAAAAGTCAGATGATAGACTTAAAAAGCAAAATAAAGTGGTTTTTTCATCACAAAAGGCAACAGGGTAAATCAATAATCAGAATATTTTAGCCCCTAAAGATTTTTGGCTACGATTTTGGTTACTCTTAGGAATGAAATACATGGGCAACCTATTAAATACAGTTCGATTGTCATAGCTGAAGAAAAAAAAAAAAAAACCCTCCAGGTCCAGTGGCCAAATCCTGCATGTTAGTCACCACAATGGAGAGATACAACTTCCCACTTAGTTTCCAGAGCTAAGCTCATACACTTACCCAGAGGCCACTGATTGAAAGAGATCAGACTCCCTTTCATTTCAAATGGAAGCCGGGTTTGTAACACTTTTACAAAACTATATCGTAATTCACCCTCCAATCCTTCCTCTGAGAACCCTGCGGCCATCTGCTATAAGGACTGTGCATTTGGGGAAACTTTCAGACTTACTAGACAGTGGCTTTCGAATTAGTTTTATGTGATGGCATAACAAATTACCACAAACATTTTTTTTTTTGGTCTTTTTCCTTTTTATGGGTACCAGGGATCGAACTCACGACTGCCTGCTTGCAAGGCAGGCACTTAGGCCACTGAGCTAAATCCCCAGCCCCCACCACCACCATTTTTACACAATGGATTACTACTCAGCCATAAAGAAGGATAAACTGGAGACTTTTATAGGTAAATGGATGCATCTTGAGTACATACTCATTAGTGCAATAAATAAGATACACATGTGTAAACATCATATTGTTTCATTACTGTGACAAGCTGAAAGAAAAAACATATGTAAATGCATATAAAGGTAATACTTAAGACAGTTATACTACTGATTTCCGAGTTCACTAAAGAGAAAGGTTTGTGCTAGTATTGTTTGGACAACTGAATGGAGATGTCTTGTGCTCTGGGTGAATGATTTTGGAATCACAATGTGCAATGTATGTACCATTGTTGTCCCCTGATGGATGTATTTTGAAATTCTGTTCTAGTTTTTTTCATTTCTTTTTTTTATCCGTGAAATAAAATGGATTTGGAAGAAAAAAATTACCACAAACAGTAGCTTAAAACTCATTATTACCTCAGTTTACAAACAAGAAGTTCTAAGTATGACAGCTGCATGCTCTATCAGGTGCTTGCAAAGCTAAAAGTCAAGATGCCAACAGGGTTCCTTCTCATCGGGAGCTTGAATTCCCCTTTCAAGCTCATGTGACTGTGGTAGAATTCAGTTTTTTGTAGCTATAAGATCAAGAGCCTCTTCCTTGCTGAACATCATTTGGGGGTCCACTTTTGGCTCCTATAGATCACTCTTACCCCCTCCATCTTTGGAGTCAGCAATGGAGAAATTCTTAAGTGACAAGTTCCTCTGTTTTGAATCAGCTCAGTCCCTTTAAAAGGGCTCATTTGATTAGAAAGGGTTCACCTGGGTGAATTTCTCTTTCTTAAAGATAACTAATTGGGGATGATAATTACATCTGCCAAGTTCCTCACAGCAGGACTTAGGTTAGCATTTGAACATGTAACTGTAAGAAAATACATTGCCTTAAGGGGAAGAGATCTTGGAGGGCACATTAGAATTATGCTCACCATAGCTCTGAACTAAAACAAATTTCTAGACTCCAGATACCACCGTGATGCTGCAGTCAAACTATGATTTATGTTGTTCAGGTGACAGCTACAGTATTAATCCAGATTTGATTCACAGTGGACCCACTGAGAATAGATTCATCCTATGAAAATGCTCTCATTTCCCAAATATAAAACTGAAATAGATATACTAGGCTACGAATAAAATATCTACACTGATCCTAACTCAGAAGTAAGAGACACTGCAGTAGGAAATGTTAAGTGAAAGTTCCTTTAACTTTCCATTACTAAGATAAAATTGCCACCACCAGAGACTTAAAAGACAAATAGATAGTAACACCTCAAATCACATCACCATTTAATGTAGCTGTATGTGTAAAAGTTAGATGAATGTCTGGACTATTATAATCAGGTATTCTCTCAGCTGGCAGCTGCTGTTCTCAATTTGGTACCTTCACTAGAGCTAATCAATATAGCCTGTGGCACCCAGTATGCAACCACACATCTGATAATGTGGGTACTAAACTACACACTCGGTAATGCAGCTATTCATCAGGTAGACCCAGCACTGACCTGCACTGGTATGTTACCCACTAAGTCTGGCCAGACATTTTTTTTTTTTGTCTTTTTCCTTTTTATCGGTACCAGGGATCGAACTCACTACTGCCTGCTTGCAAGGCAGGCGCTTATGCTGCTGAGCTAAATCCCTAGCCCCCTTGGTCAGACATCTCAGAGCAAGTTGAGTGCACTGGATACCATCATGCAGAGGGCACAGACTGTTCTTTGGAATGAATGCATTTTTGATATGGATGTGCTTTCCTTGTTTGTAATACTTCTGCTAGCACTACTGTGTCTGAAATGCTTCGCTCCCTGGTATTCCACACAGCCTTGTTTCTCATTAAGGAACTCGTTACATATTAACGGCAAAAAAAAAATCAGTGGGCTCATTACCATAAAATAAAGGAATCTTACCACCTATTGAGAAACATGGCCTAATAGCAAGGTTTAGTAAAGATGAACTGGGAGACAAAAGTGTAAAAAAGACAGTATTCTTTCTTACAGCATATAATAATGAAACCATTATATAGTGTTGTCTCTATAATAATGAAAACATAAAGCCTAAGAATCATGGGTGGAAGTGATTCTCCTTTTTAAATCTAATAACCACTCATACATACAGTGTTGGTTTTCCAACACACAATGTGAGCTCTGCCTGTCATAAGTTCTCAAAGGGTGCAGTACTTCTACTAGGGGAAAATAACTGTTCCCTTGAATAGGAAGATAAGGCTGCCACCTGCCTCTTTGGGGATCTTTATATCACAGAACCAAAGAGCAAAGGAAGATTTTAACAGTTAAAGTAACTACACAATTACAATAGTAAATAACCAAAAGTGTTGCCAGCATATTTTTGGATTCAGATTTTCAACAAATTACAAGAGATTTAATACTTTATTTTTTTCTTTTTATTTTAAAGATAGTAACATACAACAAAACAAGACAGAACAAAGCCAATTGAGATAATTCAGTGAAACTGGTACAGAACTTCAGAGCAGGACACTGGGATAACAATAATACGTACCACAGTGTATCTTGTTACCTTCACAATAGTTGTCCATTCAATCAGGTATAGCAAAATCAAACCAAAAACAGAACATCATAAAACCAATCAAAATAGAGTATTGAACAGAGAAAAACAATCAGAACAAACCAAAAACAATCAAAACAATATTGGCCTTTAAAGACAAGATTGAAGGAAACCCCTCATATTTGCTACACTGCATATGGTCATCCTCCCAAGAGATGCTCAGACCTCTGGCCTCAGGTCAGCATAATCCAAACAATACAAAGCATGTAGTTGCTTTATGTACCTTAGTTGCTATTAACTCTGGCTGACCTCAACGCCATCCAGTTGCTAATGGGGTGGGGAAGGAGGGCACGACACAGGATGTTTGATTCTCAGCCTGCGTATCTGTAGGCTCACGGGAGACACTGACTTGTTCTCTCCTTGGTGCACCTACAGCTTGATTGTGCTACTCACCAGTGAGGATGGTTCATTGCTTTCTTGATTGTGCCGCTCACCAGTGAGGATGGTTCATTGCTTTCTTGGTTGGCCCCCCCAAGTTCCAGAATGAATGATTCTCAGGAGATGTTGACTTGTTCTCTCCAGATTCAATACTTTATTGTAATATCAGTTTTGTGTTACATGACTTTGCACAACATGAAGAATTGTAGACGTCCTTCCTGAGGACATTTAAGGAAGGCTAGGCTAAGCCATGGTATTTGGTCAGTTAAGTGTACTAAATAAGTCCATTTTAAATTTATGATATCAATTTATAATAAGTTACTAAAAAGTAAACTTATCATAGGCTGAGAAACTCAACTCCAGGTAGTAGACTCAATTCATATTTGTTGAATAAATGAGTAAAAAGTTCTCTCCAGTAATCCACATTCTCATATAAAAATGGAGAAGAAATTAGAATTTCAGGTATATTTTCTCTACTTTGTTTAAATTAGTGATTCCTTTCCTTAAGGAAATAATGATCTAGGGGAGCATATAAAAATTCTTAGGCTGCAGATATAGCTCAGTGGCACATGTGCCTACATGGCAAGAGTGAGGTCATGAGTTTGATCCTCAGTACAAAAAAAAAAATAAATCTTGAGTTTGAAAGAATCATATTTAGTACTACTACAGTTTTAAGTTTGTAAAGTCTTAAAAGGACATGAAACACTGCTTTGACCAGGTGTTCAAATCTACTTTATAAGAATCCTCAATTTTCTAAAGCCAGATTACCAAAATGTTCATATATTTGCAACTACACACATCTGGGAAAGAGCTATGTATGTGTGTCTATGTATGTATATATGTAAAAATGTACTTTGATCTATGAATGAAGATTTGCAAATATATTTATAAAATAAAAATTTCTAATTTTATGAAAATAGCCTATTTTTATAATAAATTTCAATTTCTAATGCTGGTAAATCGAGTGACTGTGAATAAGAAAACAGATTATTATTTTATTTTATTTTCAGATTATTATTTTAATAACATACTTCAGTGTCACAAACTTCATAAATATACCTGACAAAAATTTCCAACGACTCAAGAATTTTCAAAGTACCTATGTGTTTCTCAAAAAGCTAAATTCTTATTTAGATCATTTTCCCAGCCAAACTTATCTATTGCTTACAAAGTTACTTCAGAATTACAAACTATCTGCAGAACAACAAAGCTCTTAACTATATTGTTACATAATTAAAGAATTCTTTAGAGAACAGTGTCTGAAAATATTTCTATTGTTTGTTTTTTTTTAAATTTTATTTAAGAGGAAAAAGAGAAAAACACAAAACAAAACAAAGCGGTGTAAGGGTACATGTAATACAGAACTACAAAAAAAAAAAAAAAACATAACAGTAAGAAATCACCTGTTAATAGATTACATATTATCATCTTGGAAATAGTTGCTCATTTCTTTTGTTTGTTGACCTGCCTTTTTATTGTTACCATCTTGCAGATTCAATTTATGGTCCTCACTGTTATTTGAAATATAAAGTTAAATTTATAAGTTTTTGAGTCATCAGATGATTGAAGATAGTTAATCTCATTATATGCAATTTTATATGGCTTTCATCTGAAATTCTTACAACTAAAAACTGTACATCTCAAATACTAAAGAGACCTAGGAGACTTCTAGGTCACATATTAATAATATTTCTACTACAAAGGATCCCCTCCTTTTCAAAATTCTGATCTTCTCCAATGGTTTTCCAATACTGAAAGATTTTATTAAAGTTAAACAAATGCCTATTTCTTATTATTTAAAAGCATATAACAAAAAATAAATAAAAAGCAATAAAATAACTTACATCTGCTTATCTGAATACTGAAAATAGCTTCTGACTCCTAACAACTGGAATTCTAGAGGGCTGGGAATCAATTTGCTCATTTTACAAGCAAGCACATGGAAGCCTAGAAAGATTAAATAGCAAACACCTAAAAAATAAAAGGTTTAAAATGTAACTACCACATAACAGAATTGGTATTTTCCTTCTGCTTTGTTTGTTTGACTGCTTTTGGTATGATGAGACATAGACAATAAAACAATTTGTTTGAGGCATTTAAAGTTTCAGTCAATAATGTATGTAACTTAAAACTGACTTTTTACCTCACTTAAATAATCTGTAAGATGTAAAATGGTGGAAGTTTAGTAAGCTTAACTCACGCCTGTATTACTTAGTTTTTCATGTGTCCTAGCACCTGGGGATCAGTCTATAAGACAATGTGCTGTGGAGAACGTAACTAAATAAGGAGAGAAATGATACTATTTAGAGCAAGTGCCAAATTCTGTTTCTGTCAATCATGTCTTCATATTACCCATTACTTCCTGACCGGGCAAAAAGTCAGTCTGCAGTTCTAGCAATTTGTACCCACTCTGGGTGACGTTAAGAGACAGACCTCATTAGCCCTGCCAATAGGCGAACAGAAGGCATTAAATCAGCACCCCAATTTTTAATAGTTAGTCTAAAATTATTTTTGAGAAGTAACCTAGTTTAAGGTACCATTTTTCAAACTGAGTGTTATAACACAGTATGGGGGGATCATGAAACAGATTTACTGTATCATAATCAGCATTTAAAAAATCAAACAAGGAAGTATAAAAATGGAATACATTACAAGAAGTAATAAGTATTACCTCATAAAAATATTTAAATTGTTTAAATGTATTATATATTCACACACAGGTGTAATAAGCATCATAAAACATGCACAGCTGCACATGTGTGATGCATTTTTCATTGTAACTCAAAATGCAAAAATTTGCTATAACTCAAAATATAACAGTTACATTATACTGCAAGAGTAGATTTTTTTTGGTAAACCAAGAAGCATTATTTGTTCTTTATGATATAATCACCCATTTAGAATTGGGATCATACAGGAGTCTTACATGCATGAAAACCATCATAGAGAAGAGAAATGCTAATAAACTCAATCTTACACATGTTTTAAATGTGTAAGCTAAAATCTAACAGCCGTTCATTCAAACATGTTTTCTAATGCAAATGTCCTCTTCTTTGATTCTCTTCCTCTTTCTACAATGGTTGTAAAGGTTGCTTTCTTTCTGTTTACATTGCTAGTTCTCCCTTAACCTTCAACCCCTTAATTGTAGAAATTCTTTTTGTCCTTAGAACATTATAATTTCTTCTGTATAATTTTCCCTTGTAGAAAATCTATCCATTTGGATGGCTTCAAGTAATACTTTTATTTTGTCTCTGGCTTCTAAGTGTTTCAAAACCATTTTAAAAGGCATGTGTTTTATGCCTTTTCAAGGCTGTATCTTTGTATAATATGCTCCCTTTGCCTAGGAGAAGGCGGGAGGATAATATAGTTTTAAAATGCGCTTGGTTGTTTATAGTTTAGGGGAGATCTGCTAAGAAGGCCAAACCAGTAAAAAGGAAATTCAAATGTTTATTCAATTATTCTCATTGTAATCATTACAGAAACAAAGTCTACAAGAACTAGGATTCATTCAGTAGTTGTACACATTTGCCACAAACTAGGAATATCACTTCTAGAAAGATAGGAAAATCCCAATGTGGTGGACACACCTGTAACCCCAGCTACTCAGGAGGATGAGGCAGGAAGATTACGTCAGCATAGACAACTTAATGACACCCTGTCTCAAAAAAAAAAAAAAAAAAAAAAAAAGGACAGGAAAAATATCTATAAATTTGAGAGTTGATGGCCTTTATTTTTATTTGTAAAGTAGGGGGTATAATGAGCATGATGGAGAAGACAGTAGTGTTAAGAATTGGGAAAAGAGGTTGGGAGGGGTAGCTTAATGTAATGGTAAAGCATCTGTCTTACATGAATGAAGCCATGGATTTAATACCGGCACTACCAAAAAAGAGAAGAAAAATTATGAGAATGGCATAAGGCTTATAAATGCACTCTGGATCACGGAAAGAATATAGATTAGGAACCAACCACTGGCAGTTTTAAAGACATAGTTGAGGGTGCAGTGATAAAATTATAGTGGTTCTAAAATACTCTGCTGTTGTCCTAAGCAGTCCTAGCAGTAGGCATGAAGACAGTAAAGGCTAGAATGGTTGAGTTTTGCTAGGCAGATGCAACACAAAGCAATGAGGTAAAGGGATAAAAAGCACAGAGGACAAAATGTTTTAAATGACTGATAGGAAGTAGTTCTGGGAGGGACATGATCCACTAGAATAAAATGCAGAAGTTCCCTATAAGGAGTCCTATAAGACAGAAAAGCACATGTTAAAGGAGTAGGGGAGAAAAAAAGTTTAACAGCTGGCATATATGGTCACAGATTCTTTTATTAGGATTTAAAGTGTTAAGAGAGTAATTTTGGGTGATGAGTATGGCCATGGGAATGCCTGACCAAAGTAAAATGGAATCATAAATAGGTTCTCCCTAGCTGGGTATGGTGGCTTACACTGTAATTCCAATACATGGGGGCTGAGGCAGGAGGACTGTCACAAGTTTGAGGCCAGCCTTGGCTATCTAAAGAATTTAAGGCCAATGAACTGCATAGCAAGACCTAGTCTCAAAACAAAAACAAAAACAACTTAAGAGTTATAGAAAAAATTAACACAGATTTAGATCGGGAGACAGCAGTCTAAATTTTCAGTGAGCAAGCAAGAAGTCAAATAAATTGGTAAGAAAACAAAGAGGAATGACAGAGAGTAGAATGTTCTATAAAATATTGGATGCAGAAGACCAATTTTACATGAAGTATTTAGAAATACTGATTTAGGGGGCTGGAGGTTTAGCTCAGCGGCATAAGCGCCTGCCTTGTAAGCAGGCAGTCGTGAGTTCAATCCCCAGTACTGATAAAAAGGAAAAAGACAAAAAAAGAAATACTGATTTAGAAGAATAGTGATCATTAAACGAATGTTGTACTTCACTACTTATCTTTTGGCAGTCCTTCTTACTGCCTCTTTCTTTCTTACCTTTCTCTATTTCTCATCTCTCATTATGCGATAAAAAAGAATAATCAGCCTCCATTTGAGGAGGCTACTGAAGGATACCTGAGTAAGATGCTTCCACAAGTAGACAAGCTAAAAAGAAAAAAAGCACTCTCTGAAAAAGAAACTAGTAACTTCACGAAATTCTACCCTTAGTGTAACCCATACTAGTATCTGGTTGATGACTATGCTAGTATTAAGAGTATTTTCAAAGCCTTGGACAAGGGATGAGGGTATATTCTCAATAATCATGTCTAACAGAAAATTCAAATCTTACCTAATTTAATAAAAGCATAGCACAAATATAATTTAAGTATTAAATATAAAAAGAAAAATATAGAACACTTTTATATTTTTTATATGAAATAAAGTTAGAATAAAAACTTTATTACGGTTTGTGTCCTCCAAAACTCATGCAAGCAGATTAATCTCTATTACTGATTATGATTTTCCCCTTCCCAAACTTATGTTGAAACTCACCCCCATTGTAAAAGGTAGAACTTTAATCCAACTATAATATTTAGTGTTGGGGACTTTGCGAGGTGGTAAGAATTAAACAAGGTTATAAGGACATAGCCCCATGACTTAACAGTGGCTTTATAAAAAGGAGGAGGTATCAAAAGACACACACTCTATACACACAACTCTTTCCATATGATACTCTCCATCTCCTCTGTACTCTAGCAGCAAGAAAGGGCTGTCAACAGATGGGGCCTCATCAACTTGGACCTTCATAATGGTGAGCCAAAATAAACTTCTTTTCTCGAAAAGTTACCCAGCCTTATGGCATTGTACTTCAAGCAACAAAAAAATGACTAAGATATTCATTATTGTTCAATAAATGGGTACAGTACATCTAATAGGTATACCAGTTATTAGGGTACAAAATTAGCAATCTAATAGGGATTATATATGTAAGGTCTTTCCAAAGCTTGGTTAAACTGTTCCTTTGAATCTAATTCACTTTGTTCTGATTCTGTACTAATTAAATCACCTAATTACTAGATTTCAAAGGAATTACGATGCTTAGGCAGCGCTCTACAGCAGCGGTCTCAGAATTTTTCATTAAAAAGACACTGTTTTACTAATCTATATTATGTATACAACACACATACATAAAAGATTTAAAAGGGTTTTACAGATGCTAGCATGTTCTTCTCATACTTCAGTGCTACACTGTAGATGTCACTTTAGAGATCAGTCCTCTATACAGTGAAAAGGCATAAATCTGACATAAGTTATAATCTGGAACTATGTAAAACAGCTTTACAAAAAATGATAAGATCAAGGTTTTGATTCTTGAGGAATGGAAATCTTTACAATTCCAAGACCATAAGCCAATAACCTCATAAATATTGAATATTCAGATACCAGATGTGTGCCCATACGAGTTAAACAAAATACTCTTTTAGTGAAGAAAAGCATGCCTCAAATGACACTGATCAGAAGTTTAAACAATGACATTATGTAGTTTCTTCTTCCCTTTAAGTAGAAATTATCTTGTGTTTACTCACCTGAATAAAACGTGTTGATTTTGGCAAGTTCCTTTTCACAGGTTTGGAAAAACTTTTCTTCAAACTTGGCAAAATACCTCTTTACTGTGTCCTCATCTGTAACTGAAAGGCAAGAAAAATAATATATAATGTCAGAAGGTGAAATGGGAAAACCAGGGAAATAAAAGTTGTTATTTTCTCACTCTTTAAAGTGACTACTATACATATATTTCTCTTAAGAAAAAAAAAAAGAATTGTGAACTATATTAGGATGGAATTAATCAAAGTGCTCTTTAGAAGAACTCTACTGTTTTCTGAATGATACTCTCTAAAGCTCTACTAACATAAAACAGTGTTGGAGAAAAGAAATGTTCTAAGACCAGAAGAGGAAAGAACTGCTATAGATTATTCTTTGATTAAAGAAGAATCAAGGTTTTAGAAGTTGAGCCAGTAGGATTCATTCAGTAACAAATTAAATATTTCAAGGGGGGTTGTCATGGTTTATGTCTGTGCCCCCAGGCCTCATGAGTTTGCACTATGCATTTGTGATTGGTTCATTGTCTAGTGCTTGGATTGATGGTATCAGTGCTACACCTACATAGGGGTGGAGCCAGGATGTGATGTAATGGCAGGAAGAAGGTGTGTCTTGCTCTTTTGCCCGTTTCTGCCTTGCTGCTTGCAGCCGCCATGAACTGCGGCACAGCCATACCAGCCTGCTTTGGAGCCAACTGAGTATGGATTGAAACCTCCAAAAACTGTAAGAAATAAAACTTTCCTTTCCCAACTTTGGGCTTCAGGTATTTTGTCTCAGCGATGAGTAAAAAGTAACTAAGACAGAATTTGGTACCAAGGAGTGGGGTCGTTTGCTGTGACTATACCTGACTATGTTTTTCAAAAGGCCTTGGAAATGGCTTGTGGGCAGAGTTTGGAAAGGTTCGGACATGTTGCCTGGATGCATAGAGCTGGAGCAGCCGAGGCTAGTCTGTAGTGGAGATTCTGGTCAGAGCTCAGGAGATCAGAACGCTTATAGAAAGCCTCATGGTAAAGACCAGCCTTGGGAGGTTTCTGTAGGGAAGGACTGCGTTGGTTGTTGGACTCCCCATGATGTATGTTATAGCTGGACAGAAAGTTTGTCTGCATTTTTCTCATGCCCAGAGGCTTTGCCTGAGACTGAAACAAAGGGTAATGGACTGATTAATCTAGAAAAGGAAATTTCAAAGCAACCGAATATTGAGGCTGTGGCATGGCTATTATTGGGGGCTTTATGTGGCAAATCAAGAACAAAGAGCCCAGCAGGATAATTTGCAATACTGTGAGTTTGGTCAGAAGGAAAATTCCAGGAATGCTGTGGACTGTAAAAACAGAGTTGAGACTTTGAATGCTGAGGAGAAACCGAAAGATAAAAGAATTTGCTCAGAGGAGAAACCTGCAGAGCACCGTGCTCCAGAATAACGATGGAGGCCATATGAGGTTACAGAATGGTGGCAGAGGCCACATGAGGTTCCAGAATGGCGGCAACATAGAGAAGCTTTTCCTCACAATCAGGTAAACAGAGCCCTGCGATCCAGGCAACTGACCCTTACAGCCAAGAGAGAGAAAAGCCTGGTGGCATCCACATGGTGCTGATTTTAGGTATAAGGAAAATGCACAAATTCTGAGAGTAAGTAGGCTTCCATCTTGATTGCAAAGGGCCTGGGAGGCCAAGCAGTGTGTCCCTGAGAGGGCAATTTGTGAAGATGTAAAGGTGAAGCCAAAGGTGCAGTGGAGACCCCAAAAGTTTGGAAAAGCCAGGAAGGTGGATGATCCAAGGAAAGCTGCAAAAAGTGAGGAGAGGATTTATGAGAAAACCTGCAGGAGCTGAAATCCCTGGAAGTGCTGTGTGAGTGGAATTACCCAGGCCTTTTGGAGCTTGCAACCAGATGGCTTCAGGTGCTGAGCATGGAATTCTAGGACTTAATGTTAGTCTTGCTGGATGCTGGACTTGCTTTGTTTCTAATGCTTTATATTCCCCTGTTTGCAACTTCTGGAATGGTAATGTTTATCTTGTGCCTTTGCATTTCAAAAATGTTTAACCTTGTTTCATTTGTACAGGGGGTTACAGTTAAGAGTTTATCATAGATCTTGGAGGAGACTTGGGACTTGGGACTATTCAGCAATGCTGAAACTGTTAGGATTTGGCAACTCTTGGAGGTGGACTAAATGTCATTTGTATAAAGGATGTACATGAGTCCTGGGGGCCAGGGGTGGAATGTCACGGTTTATGTCTGTGGCCCCCAGGCCTCATGAGTTTGCACTATGCATTTGTGATTGGTTTGTTGTCTAGTGCTTGGATTGATGGTGTCAGTGCTACACCCACATAGGGGTGGAGCCAGGATGCAATGTAATGGCAGGAAGAAGGTGTGTCTTTTGCCTGTTTCTGGCTTGCTGTCTGCAGCTGCCATGAATTGCGGCTCTGCCATGCCACCCTACCTTGGAGCCAACTGAGTATGGACTAAAACCTCCAAAAACTGTAAGAAATAAACCTTTCCTTTCCTAGCTTTGGGTTTCAGGTATTTTGTCTCAGCGACAAGTAAAAAGTAACTAAGACGGGGGACCACAAAAGCAAACATTAAAACCTGAGTGTATAGCATTTTTCTAGGCAAAGTAAGTTGATTTTTATTGTATACTAAATTCTTATCTATCATTTTTACATTGGGTATATCAGATAAAGAAAGTATTATGGACAGATAAGCACAAGTCAGATCTTCCAATGTTTCAGAAACTTGACAGACAGCAGAAACAAGTTGAACAAATGAAGGACGGCAAGTGTGGTAATAAATGGTACCTGAAAACTTTGGCATAAGAAGCAGTATAGATTTTTGGTAAACTGGAAAGCATATCTCTATCTAACTGCTGCCATGTGGCACTATGGACCCAGTTTGTCATACTTTCCTTTCAGAGAGATCATAAATCCAGACATTTTAAAAACACTGTGTGAGGCAACCAATAGCTTTCTACAAATTAGATCTACGTTGTGAGTTTTGTCTTATTGCTTATCAATTTATTAACTCCCCTCAGCACAGAATACATGTGTTTTCAGGAGTCCTAAAACCTGCCTAGATTCTACAGATGCCAATCATAACACAGAACTATCCTATTTCTGGATCTCTTAGGTATTCACTGAACTGTGTAGAAAAAGGATAGTGTCCTTTCTGTAGACCAGGCATCACAAATCTTACTGCAATCCCAGAAACCCTTAACCACGTGTATAAGATAACAGAAATGGTATTTCCTTCAGCAATATTTAAAACACTCATGCATACAAATTCATAGCACTAGAGATTTTTTTAAAAAGTTTGAAGTTCTAAAAAGCATGCCAAATCTATTCAATTAATTAAAACATCCCAGCACAACATTTTTATCTATATTTTGCTACTTTTCTTTTACATGCTTTGAATCTAAGCATATAATACAGGCTAGCCTACTAATTTTAAAGAAAAAAATGGGATGGCCACTTTAAGTTTCTCATGAAAACTTAGCAACTTAAGTACAATGAAGAATATAGCTTCACAAGATCAATGAGAATTACTTTTTCAAAGCATTAAGCAGGCCTCAGCTTTTTTTAAAGAAAAGCTGACCTTGAGTGGAGGTAGGCTCCATGTTAACAGATGCTGCATCTCTTATTAATAGCATCTGTCTATAGAAGAGTTAATAGATTATTTTACTTACCTACTTTTTTCATTTTTATTTCATTCACTATTATTAAGGAAGAAAACTCAAAAGGAAAATATGGGTTTGGTCACATTTAAACTTACTTTGTATAAACAGACAATTTTCAAGAATGCCAAAGATAAAATTTTTCAGAAAAGTGATTATTTAAAATAGTTTCTGCTCATAATTTTAATATAAAATACAGGGTTATACAGCTTAGTAGTAAAATATTACCAACACTTTAAAAAACACTCAGGCTTTTGAGAAATTAAAACATGTGTAATAAATTTCGTGTATTAAAACAAGAGCATTCTTTCCTGTGAGCCCCTGTCATGGGGAACAGGAAAAGAAGCAAGAAACAAAACCATGCCTTTGCATGAGCCAACTTGTGCATGGACTGGGAGGAGACAAGGAGAGCAACAACAACAACGGGCTGATTCGGAGGAAGTCAGGCTGAGATGACAGCAACTGAAGTTAAAAAAAAAAAAAAAGTACTGTTTGACTGACTTTGCACCCAGGCCTGATGCTGGTAGTTTGAGCACCAATCTGAAGATAACAATGTATAATGTAGCAACTGTGGGGGATTTCTTTCTGTCTTGTATTTGAAATTCAATGTTTTGTTCCATTTTACTGTTTTATTTTATTCCTGTATCTGGTAACCTGAGCAACTATTCTGAAGATAACAATATGCAATATAATAATACAACCATTATTAAATTCCTATAATCTGGTTTTGAAAACCTATAAAGCTAAGTTATTTTGTTTGTTGTTTATTGTTGTTATCATATTGCTTTAGTCATGTTTTGATTCATCTGCTTCTTGATTTTTCTTTTTCTTTTCTTTAAAATTAAAAAAAAAAAAAAAACAAGGGCATTCTACCATAAATCAATCTATGAATTCTTCATTTTTGTACTTTAAAATGCCAGCAGTCTGCAATTATTTTCTAATAAGTCAAAAGAGGTTACAGTATAGCTACAGCAACACTGAGAAATAATAGCTAACCAAGGAAAGGGCAAAGTGCTATAAGCAAATAATAAAGGATAGTGTTCTTGTATTCTCAGATTTTAAAAGACCTACTAACATACTAAAAATAGAAATACACTACAGGGAAAGGAATTAGAAGAACACAATAGAAAGAACACAGAGTCAGGAAATAGGTTTGTATATACAGTATTTAGAAATTTAGATTAGAAAGAGGGCTTCATATCAGTGAGAAAAGAGTGGATTATAACCGAAACTGTCCTTCTTAAACATTGAAACCATAAAGGGGAAAATACCACAAAATAAAATGTCTCCATTCTACCATATACTAACAGTAAGGTT